AGAAGATAGATAGCATAGATAGATAGATAGATAGATAGATAGATAGATAGATAGATAGATAGATAGATAGATAGATCAGAACAGACTGAGATAGATAGATAGATAGATAATGAAGAGACTTAGATAGATAGATAGATAGATAGATAGATATGCGGTTTTAAATTTGTATCTGTTTTACTTTTCTGACGATGTATTGTATTTTCCCAGAAAACTGCATCGGCATTTCGCGCTTTGAAATTTTAGTTTCTCTTCCCCCTCCTCTGAACAACAGCATTGAATCGAATTCAGATAATGTGAACGTTTCAGACTCTTATCGATTTACAATAACAATATAGGTCCAAAATAAAATACATACATACAATTTATATATATATACATAAATGCACACACACACACACACACACACACATATATATATATATATATATATATATATATATATATATATATATATATATATATATATAAATAAATGAAAGTGTCAAAGATGCTGACGTGTCTACAAAGAAATATTCAGTTGACGAACTTTCAACTTTCGTTCGAAAAATGGAAAACGTTTCCGGTTTCCGCATGGACGCCGATCCTCATTTTCGGACAGAAGCTGCGAAGTTTTACGGAACTTGGTAAATCCTCTTCAGTGCCACTGAGATATGTTGGAAGAAGAAAAGAATGGCGAAAACTGAACTAGTGGAGCTTTTCTCTAGACCATTATTATTATTATTATTATTATTATTATTATTATTATTTTATTATTATTATTTTATTATTATTATTATTATTTTATTATTATTATTATTATTTTATTATTATTATTATTATTATTATTATTATCATCATCATCATTCGATTTTGTCTGGACACACTACCTACCAAGTCTGCGGAAAGACCTAAGGCAGGTCGTGGTGTGTTGTTATGGCCACATTTCATGTTTTTTTTTTTTTTTTTTTATCTCCGATGAAGTTGCTAGCGTTACATAGACAAAGTTCTCCTTAGTGTGTGTGCTGTACTTAATAAGACAATTTTCTGTATGTCTCTTAAGCTGGGGTTTCCAGGATTCTTTCAATGTGTTGTTTTGTTCCATTTTTTATAATTCCAAGTGCACCTATTACCACTGGTATTATTCTTGTTTTCAATTTCCACATTTTTTCTATTTCAATTTCCAGGTCTTTGTATTTTGATAGTTTTCAAATTCCTTGGTTGCTATGTTACAATCCGCTGGACAAGCCATATCAATTAGTAGGCAAATTTTTTTCTTTCTGGTTTTGACAATGATGTCCGGCCTATTTGCTTCAATTTTTCTGTCTGTGTGGATGGTATAATCCCATAGAATGGTGACATCTTCTATTTCTGTAACCGGCGCTGGCCGATGTTCATACCAGTGTTTGCTTACACATTTTCCAAAGTGTTTGCACATTGTCCAGTGTAAGTATTGCCCCACTCTATCGTGACGATTTTTTATATTCATTTGGGGCAAGTATAGAACATCCTGAGATTAGATGGTCTATTGTTTCTTGGTATTTGTCACAGAACCTGCATTTTGGATCCACATTATTATGTATGATATTTGCCTGAAAATTCCTAGTGAAAAGACTCTGGTCTTGCGCTTAAAGCCTTCAGTTTCAGACTTTAAAGCCTTCAGTAACCATCGATGAGACTTTAATCAACAGATGTTTATTTGCACGTTCTGGATAACCATCGATGAGTTTGTCTTTAAGCGTTTTTCATCTGTTCAAGGGCTTTATTTGGCTTTTTTTGGATCTTTTGCTGCAATAGTTGGTTCTTGGCTTCTGTTTTGATTTACTACAGAATCTACTAAATGTTTGTTTGTATTTACTCTTCTTTTATTATTGAATATTTTTTTCTTTTGTTTTCATGTTGTTTCACTTTATTATTATTTTTTTATTATTATTATTATTATTATTATTATTATTTATTATTATTATTATTATTATTATTATTATTATTATTATTATTTTATTATTATTATTATTATTATTATTATTATTATTATTATTATTATTATTATTATTATTATTATTATTATTATTATTATTTTTGATGGACACACTACCTACCAAGTATGGAAAGACCTAAGGCAGGTCGTGGTGTGTTGTTATGGCACATTTCATGTTATTTTTTTTTTTTTTTTTTTTTTTTTATCTCCGATGAAGTTGCTAGCGTTACATAGACAAAGTTCTCCTTAGTGTGTGTGCTGTACTTAATAAGACAATTTTCTGTATGTCTCTTAAGCTGGGGTTTCCAGGATTCTTTCAATGTGTTGTTTTGTTCCATTTTTATAATTCCAATTTACCACTGGTATTATTCTTGTTTTCAATTTCCACATTTTTTCTATTTCAATTTCCAGGTCTTTGTATTTTGATAGTTTTTCATTATTATTATTGTTACAATCCGCTGGACACACATATCAATTATTAAGGCAAGATTTTTTTCTTTCTGGTTTTTTGACAATAATGTACCTATTTGCTTCAATTTTTCTGTCTGTGTGGATGGTATAATCCCATAGAATGGTGACATCTTCTATTTCTGTAACCGGCGCTGGCCGATGTTCATACCAGTGTTTGCTTACACATTTTCCAAAGTGTTTTTGTCCAGTGTAAGTATTATTATTATTATTATTATTATTATTATTATTATTATTATTATTATTATTTTTTATTTTATTATTATTATTATTATTATTATTATTATTATTATTATTATTTTATTATTATTATTATTATTATTATTATTATTATTATTATTGCTTATTATTTTATTATTATTATTATTATTATTATTATTATTTTATTATTATTATTATTATTATTATTATTATTATTATTATTATTATTATTATTATTATTATTATTATTATTATTATTATAATTATTACTTTACCAAGTCTGCGGAAAGACCTAAGGCAGGTCGTGAATTGTTATATTGTTGTTATGGCCATTTCATGTTAATTTTTTTTTTTTTTTTTTTATCTCCGATGAAGTTGCTAGCGTTACATAGACAAAGTTCTTTGTGTGCTGTACTTAATAAGACAATTTTCTGTATGTCTCTTTTTTTCAATGTGTTGTTTTTGTTCCATTTTTTATAATTCAAGTGCACCTATTACCACTAATATTATTCTTGTTTTTTCCACATTTTTTCTATTTTATTTCAGGTCTTTGTATTTTGATAGTTTTTCAAATTCCTTAATGTTACAATCCGCTTATTATTATTATTATTATTGGATTATTATTATTATCAAATTTTAATTTGTAAGCGCATTTTTTTCTTTTTTTAATTTTCAAGTTTTTTTTTTTTTAATCTTTTAAAACTTTTTCAAATGTGAATTAAGTTTAAACGTCTAATGATTTTTTTTTCTTTCTTTTTCTTTCGGATTTAACAACTTAACTCTTTGGTAATTTCAATCCTGAAAAGATTAACAATAAAACAACGTGTTAAAGTTATGGAAGCCTATTACAAAAATGGACGTTCAAACAGAAATGCAATGAAAAGTTCCCAGTTTGCATCATCTCTCGAAACAGCGAAGTCAATTGGCCAACACGATTGTGCGACTTGACGCCTTTAGATTTCTTTCTTTTGGGAGTCATCTCAAAAGTAAGGTCTATGCCAATAAGCCAACAACAATTCAATAGTTGAAGGATGAGATAATAAGGCATATTGGTGAGATTGAGGAGCAATTATGCAGAGATCATCAAAAATTTGGACCATCGAGTGGAAGTGTGGCAGACATTTGGGCGATATTATTTTTCACACATAATTGCCACAACTTAAATAATATGATCCAATAGAGAAATAAATAAATTTTCAACAATAACACTGATTTATTTATTGCTGACTTTGATCCATCTTAATGAAACACCCTTATATATATATAATCCCTCTTAATGAAACACCCGTTATGATGCAAGGGATTAGTGATTACTAGAGAATATGAGAAAAAAAAAAGAACGCTATTAAAGAGAGGACGAACACTAACGGAACGGGAAAGAAGTAGACGGAATATATCGACGGACATGGAACTGAATTCTTTCAAGATCAAAGTTGGCTGGAAAGCAAGAAGCTTGTGAAGATGACGAGTATGCTAAAGCCTGTCTCAAATGCCTTCGAGATATTCAACGCAGCAGTCAAAGATTCGCCCTTCTCATTTAAAGCTTGACAGACCCTTTCATCAATAATCGTTAATACATCAACAGCTGACCTAGAGAAGTGATAAGAAGAAACCCTTAGGATAGAACTTTCGGTTACATCTAGACATTTCAACAATAAAATAATGGGACCTGATGACCAATCTAGTACTGCGCTTACATTCGTCTAGGTACCAAAGAGGAAAGCTCATCAAAACAATGAACTGTAGAATGATGAGACCTTGTCAACTATCTTGTACTACGCTTAAATTCATAAAATCTAGGTACTATAGTTCATCTATAGTACCTAGTAATATTTATTTTGTGTAGAATACAAATATGTGGCACAAGGCCAAAAGAGGGATGGGGAAGGCTGGTTTTCTTCTGTCTGATAATTAAATTTAGCTAAGCACAATTACTGACTCAAATATAGCACGGTCGTCCTTACACCAAAACAATTTACTTATCATTCTTACTACAGTCATCATAATACCTCAAAGTCTCTATGAAGTCCTAACTAGTTCGCATATGTACAATCTGTCTGAGAGGGGGGCAAAAATAACAATTTTTAAAAAATGAAACTCCATTGAATAGAGGAAAGGTTATCAGATTAATTATCACGAGAGGATTTATAGAAAAAGACACAGGGAAGCTATGTTACGGCGGAGAGGGTAAGGCTGGTCTTTAGTTTGCCTTATCTTAAACTTAGCTAGCCACAGTAGTCCTTACATCAAAACAACACATTTTCCCTTCAGTCACCATAATACCACAAAGTCTCTATGTAGTCCTAACTAGTTCCCATATGTACAATTTGTCTTTACAAAAATAACAATTTTTAAAAGTTGTTATTTTCATTCCCCACCCCGTGGAGGAAAGTTCATCAGAACAATTGCCATGAAAATATTTGTATAAAGGGCACAGGAAAGCTACATTACGGAGGTGGGAAAGTGAGTGAAGCCGAGATGCCAACTCAGGACCA